CTTTTATCTCAGCTCTACACAGCCAAGGATACCAAAGCTGCTTGGGTGTGGACCCACAGAAAAGTATCATCCTTGGTTACTCCATTAGATGCTTTCCATGCATACACAATTACCTTGCTATTTCTCACTGAAACACAATATGGGTATTCACCTTGAATATGCAGGACAAAGTGCACTTTCCCTGCCCTGCACTTCTGGGTATGGAGGAGCATGTGACCTGCTTCCCTGTGACAGTGCCTGGTACTAGCAGCCAATGGCTTGGCCTGAGCACTGTGCAACAACTGAGGGAATGACGTGGTTGCTTTGCCTGGCCACTGACACCAATGATTCTATTGCCAGCTGCAACCAAAATAGGAGCAGTGAAAGAGTGAAGGCAAAGGGAGTATAAAGGAAATGGTGGGGGGTCTTTCCAGAGATGTAATTTTTCCCTGAATGAGCACAGTGACAGCATTTCTTTCAATGCTGTTAGTTCAATATTGGTGTAGCGGGGGCTGGAGGGGCTATGAAATCCCCCGCTCTCCCTCCCCACCTCACTACAAGTGGGATCAGTGTAAACAATGGGCTGTGTGTGTAGCAGCCGGCTCTCACCTAGAGCTTCCTTGCTGTGTGAGCATTGGAGCAGCTCTGAGCCAACCAGGGGGAAGGAGGATTTACTTTGCAGCCACCATGGATTCTGGGAACTGTAGTCCTTAAAAGGCCATGATACAATACATGGAAATGAAGATTAATGGAGCTGCAGACTTAAATACCCATTAAATTCTCTCTGCACAACAGAGGAGAGAGTGAGTTATTCCCAGGCAATTCTGCAGGATCTGGAGAGAACAATGCAGGAAACCAGGCAGTGTGGACCTGCACTGGGGTGCAGAGACCAGAGAGACAACCACAGAGGGCTGGCGCATGGGAAAGAGGAGCTTCTTGTCCTGCACTGTGTGGTGCAGACCTTCTGCTCTTACCTGTCTGTGTCCACCATCAGAGAGACTGAGCTTGAGAGAGAGCCTGGGGACTGAGCCACAGAAATGTCCTTCGCTGAGCTGGGACCAGATCTGGAGAGACTTTTTGCTTACACCAGAGAGAGAACAAGCCTAGTGAGCACCTGCTCATGAAGATCAGAGACTTGAGGGATAGCAGAAACACCAAAGGTATGGGACTGGGCCTGTTGCATGCCAGGAGTGGTGAGCAGAATCTTCTGTGCTTATCTCTACACTTGTACAGCTAATGCAATAGAGAACACTCTTAAAGGGACATCTTTATATGCACCACCTTACAGAAGTTCCCCAACAGTAGCCTTCTAATACTGAAAATTAGGTGTCAGGAGAAGGAGCTTCAATGGATATAGATTTTTCTACTCTTGTGTGAGTTGTGCAGCATCTTAAAACAATTAAGCGCATGATAACCTTCTTTTTGATTGCAGGGGTCACTTTGGTCTGGTGAGTTATTTATTCACTTGAGCACAGTCTGATGGTTTATTTTCTTCATATTTGGAGGAAGTGGAGCATAAGATCACTGGAGACATATATATGTGGAAAGAACTATAGACATATTGAACTTCTGATCACTTCATGTATCTGGTTTTGTTACACATGATAATACCTATTTATGTACAGTTGTGTCCAAAATTATTCAACCCCCAATGCTGTTAAAGGGGTTTTAGGGACTATAGTGTACATTGGAATTGTATTCAGAATCAAATCCTACAAGGACGTTGTAAATACCCAAATGCAACTAAAATGACATCAATTGTTATGTAATACAGTAGTAAATGGTTTCTTATGTGTTTGTTCTTCATTGCCACAATTATTCAACCCCTTAAAGACTACCACTCTGAAGAACAGAGGTTCATACAGGTTGCTTTCCATCAGGTATTGAAAACACTTGATGTCACCGAGCAGCAATCAAGCATAATAAGCACCAATTAGGCAGCTTTAAAATGACTGTGATACTCAGCTCCTTCTAGACATTTACTGTGTGGTTACAAACATGGTGAAGGCAAGAGAATGGTCCAGGAAGACAAGAGAAGAGGTGATTTCTCTTCCACAGGAAGGGCAATGGCTATAAGAAGATTGCAAAGATGTTAAACAGTACCAAGAGACCTTGAGGAAGCATCATTCGCAAATTCAAGGCAAAGGCACTGTTGAACAACGCTACCCTGGTCGTGGCAGAAAGAAGATGCTGACTTCGACTGCTGTGCGCTACCTGAAGCGTAGAGTGGTGAAGTCCCCGTGTGACTGCTGAGGAACTGAGAAAAGATTTGTCAGATGTGGGTTCAGAAGTTTCAGCCCAGACAATAAGACGCACACTGCGTAATGAAGGCCTCCGTGCCAGAACTCCCCAGGGGGGGCGTACCCCCCCTTGCTGTCTCAAAGAATAAGAAGAGTCGACTGCAGTATGCCAAAAGCCATGTGGACAAACCACAAAAGTTGTGGGATAGTGTTCTGTGGACTGATGAAACAAAATTAGAACTGTTTGGGCCCATGGATCAACGCTATGTTTGGAGGAGGAAGAACAAGGCCTATGATGAAAAGAACACCTTGCCTACTGTGAAGCATGGTGGAGGGTCAATCATGCTTTGGGGCTGTTTTGCTTCTGCAGGTACAGGAAGCTTCAGCGTGTGCAAGGTACCATGAATCTCTTCAGTACCAGGAGATATTGGATGGAAAACGGATGCAGTCCGTCACACACCTGAGGCTTGGGAGACGTTGGACCTTTCAACAGGACAATGATCCCAAGCATACCTCCAAGTCCACTAGAGCATGTCTTTGCAAGAGGAAAGGCTGGAACATTTTGGAGTGGCCATCGCAGTCACCAGACTTAAATCCGATTTGAGAACCTCTGGTGGGACTTAAAGAAAGCAGTTGCAGTGCGCAAGCCTAAGAATGTGACTGAACTGGAGGCCTTTGCCCATGAAGAATGGGCGAAGATACCCGTAGATCGCTGCAAGACACTTGTGTCAAGCTAATGCTTCACGTTTAAAAGCAGTTAAAAGCTGTTATATAACTGTAAAAGGATGCTGTACTAAGTACTAAGATTGAATGTCACTTGGGGGTTGAATAAAACTGATAATGCTGTGAGCACAGAAAAGACATTTGTGGTTATTTCATTATAACTGTTATGTTATATTTTATGTCTGACCTACAAGTGCCTCTTTAATGTAAATGTAAGCAAGATGACTGAATGATCAAAAGCAATGTCAAACTGGCCAAAACACTCAATTTCAGTGGGGGTTGAATAATATTTTGGACACAACTGTATATGTAATAATACTATGGGCACTTGTTGATTCAGCATATAATATAGTATAGCGCCCCCTAAGGGGGGTCTTTTCACTGTAATTGAGAGTAAGTACACTATATTGCACTTATAGAGGCAGCTTATAATTCATTCACTGGGTGATTTATATTTATTTTCTTTTTCACCACTGGCACACTTGTAGTCACCTTCATGGATAGTCCTTTGCCAACAAGGTATACACCCACCTGCCATTAGGGCTGTATGAATAGTGTGCACACAAGATCATTTTTTTTGGTTAGTTAACGTTGTTATATTGGCCAATGAAATTTGGTTTTACATTATTGCAGTTAGCTAATTGCTATAGTATAGGCCAGTGTTTACCTTAAGCAGTACAGCATCTTTAAACATGTTTCATTTGCCTGTTTACTGATTCATGCATTGTCTAACATGCCTTGCCATAATACATCCAATTAAAAAACACTACTAGGAAAATGTTTTGAGGATTGATGAAACAGAAGTTGAATTGTTTGGGAAGAAGCACTATGTACGGCACAAAAGGCACAGCTTACCAACATCAAAACATCATCCCAACCATGAAGTATGGGGGAAGGAACATTGTATTTGGGCTTACTTTGCTGCCTCAGGGCTTGGACCACTTGCCATCATTGGGGGGGAAATGAATTGCCAAGTTTACCAAAATATCCTCCACTATGTCATAGTGGCTGTCTGCCAGTTGAAGCTTAGTAGAACGTTGGGTGATGCAGCAGGACAATGACCCTAAAGCATCAAAATTAAAATCCACCACAGACTGGCTTCAGAAAAAGAAAATGAGCCTTTTGGAGTGGCCCAGTCAGAGCCCAGACCTTAACTCCATAAAGTTGCTGTATGATGACCTAAGGAGAGCTGTTCACACCAGACATCCTACAAATTTGTCTGAACTGAAGGAGTTTTGGAAAGAGAAATGGTCAAAATTTCTCCTAAACATTATGCAGGTCTCAACTAGAGACATCGAAAGTGTTTGTTTGAAGTCTTTGCTGCCAAAAGCGGTTTGACCAACTCTAAGGATTCACTTACTTTTTCCTCCTGCACTGTTAAAATATTATATGGGTGTGTTTAATAAAGACACAAGAAATTAGAAACGGTTTGTGTGTTATCAGCTTAAGCACATAGGGGTTTATTTACTAAAACTGAAGAGTGCAAAATCTGGTGCATTTCTGTATAGAAACCAATCAGCTCCCAGAGTTTTTTTCTCAAAGCCTAACTGAACAAGCTGAAGTTAGAAACTGATTGGCTACCATGCATAGCTGCACCAGATTTTGATCTCCCCAGTTTTAGGAAATCAACACCATTGTGTTTGTCTATTGGTATTGTCGTGGTGTTATGGCAAGTTACTTCAGAAAACCAGTTAATTGCAATGTCCACATACTTTTTCTTGCCACTTTATCTAAATTAATCTCAAGGATACGGATTCTATAACAAGAAGCTATACCAAGCTAATGCAGCTACCACAAGGCTAAAACGACACAATGTGAACAGTTAAAGGAACTTTAGAGAGAACTTCAGAATCCCTCCACCACCACCAACCCCCCCCTACTCCACCAGTGCTAGACTATTTTGCGCCCTAAGCAAGACCAGCTACTTGCGCCCGCCCCCCCCCCCCCCCCCCCCCCCCCCACAAAAACCCCCCCAAAAAATTTTTTTAAAAAAACAGTAGAAAATATTAAGTTAACAAAACATTAAACTGCTAAATTTCTTTTCATTCAAAAAAATAAGTGCCATAAGATGCCGCCAGCACCAATATTAAAGACAAAATCAGTGTCACAGATGGACTGTATCTGTGACTGGCAGTGGCAGGGGTGACAGTTCCAGTGGGTGGAGGATGATGGATCCACACTCTGACAGATTCCAGGCTGGAATTCCCCAGGCAGTGGAGGGAGATAAATGCTGTGACAGCAGGCAGCCAGCCTACACACAGAGAACACCTGAACTGAGCAATCCCACACTATGACAGACCAACACAACACACCACCACCAACACTGACACAGATCAGCACGCCCATCAAGCACTAGAAAAGCAGGCTGTGGGATTGTGATGATGTCATCACCCACTGACACATCGCACACAGGGGCATAGATAAGGGGGGGGGTCAGGGGGGGTCTGAAACCCTCCCCCCAGAGGAGAGTTGCCAACCGTACTTGCAGCCCTCAAAATTTCCACTCGCCTGCGAGTGGAAATAAGGTGGGGGCATCGAGCAGTGCCGGGACTAGGGGTGTGTGTGGGAGAGGCGGCAGTGGGGACGGTGGCAAGCAGAGATCTCCTGTATGGCTTTCAATAAAGCAGCTGGAAGCTGCGGGAGGGAGAGGAGGAGAAGCAGCTTCCACCAGGAGATCGCTACTTGTCACCGCCCCCCACCACTGCACAGAACATACCTGACGGTTCAGTTTTCCTTCTGGCCTCCTCCCTCCCACTGCCGCTGTGTTTTTCACTGCCCAGTCCCTCCCTCTATCCCCTGCACCAATAGGAGAAGAGGGAAGAGAGGCTGCATCTGCTTTGCCTCCTCCTGTGCCCGACCACACTCCAGTCCATGCAGCTTCAGAGGAGGTGTGGGCGGGAAACTGAACACAGCAGTCGACAGCTCTGATGCATCTGAAAGTGTCATGGTGAGTCCGATCTACCTTCCTTTCTTCCACCCCTCCCTTCCTTCCACCCACCACTCCCTTCCTTTCTTCCACCCAGCCACTCTCCCTTCCTTTCTTCCACCCAGTCACCCTCCCTTCCTTTCTTCTACCCCTCCCTTCCTTCCACCCACCCTACAACCCTCCCTTCATTCCTTCTACCCACCCCTCCCTTCCTTACTTCCTCCCACCCCTCCCTTCCTTTCTTCCACCCACTCTTCCTTCCTTCTACCCACCCCTCCCCCCCTTCCTTCAATCCACCCTTCCCTCCCTTCCTTCCACCCCACCCCTCCCTCCCTTCCACCCACCCACCCCTCCCTTCCTTCCTTCCCCCCACCCCTCCCTTCTTTCCTTCCCCCCACCCCTCCCTTCTTTCCTTCCTTCCACCCTCCCCCTTCCTTCCTCCACCCCTCCCGTCCTCCCTTGCTTCCTTCCATCTACCCCTCCCTTCCACCCCTCTCTTCCTTCCTTCCACCAACCCTTCCCTTCCTTCCACCAACCCTTCCCTTCCTTCCTCCCTTCCTTCTACCTTCTTGTTTATTGAAATCCTTCTGCTGGTGTGATGACATCACTGCAGATTTTTCTCTTTCCTCTGGCGGCAACAGCTGGCAGGCATGTTTCTATGAATGAGTCCTGGAGTACTAGGGGGAGACCCATAGAATATAAAAATCAAGCTGTAATTCTACTTAAAAGTGAACCTAACCTAGCACAAATTTCTAAACATTTCTAAAGTAATATGGCAGCTGTAAGTAACTCTGTTATTCTGAAAATCGACCCCTCAATCTCTGTGGAGTCTTTTGGATCCAAGGACCAGGGCTATTTAAGCACAAGTCAAGATTAACAACCCTCCCTCTGTATTTTCAACTGTAAAACACTGAAACTTCAGTGAGCTCTGAAATGTAACAGTTAAATGCCATGGGGTGATGGGGTGTACTATCTATTGAAGATATACAAGAAAGCTCTTTTTTCAGTGGATAGTACACTCATATAGGATTAGTGTTGCAACAGAATATTTATATTTATTTCCTACAATGAAAATACTGGATTACAACTTTGCAGGATAAGAGAAGGTTTAAACCATTTGCTGCATGGAATGTGATTTATGGGATCACAAAGAGACGTTGGTCGAAAAAAGGTAATAGTTCCTTCAGTACGTATGTGTGTATGTGGGGAAGGGGGGGCGTAATTATTTGTTACTGATCTCATACATGTATATTTCTGTAAACTAACAAGCACTGAAGTAATGTAACTCACATATCTTTGTTAATTTCTAGAAAATACTGGAAGTTGATAGCTTCCAGCAACATAATAAAAATTCTCCAGCATGAATGTGCACTTAGCTAAATATCCATTAGGTGGCACTAGTAGACTGTGCAATAGTGTAGTGAACTGGAAGCCAGTCTACACACCACTTCTTTTAATATTGACCTAAATGCACCTACTCTTCATTTTAAATGAATGAATGAATAGAGCAGTGACCACAGTTTTGAACATGTAGGGCCCAGGGGCCGGATCTAGTCTATCTGATCTGGGGGTGCAGTAAAAAAAAGTCAGGGGGCACTGTGTCAACACTGTGTGTGAGTCACTGACAGTCTGTCACACAGTGTCACAACCTGGGAAACACTCGTTTGTATTAGGCTGTCATTAGATTAGGGTGATTGAACAGAACCTGTGCACTCTTATATCAGTTATCACTATCAGAGTCCACCTTTACATCGGGAATCCTCATCAGAGTCCCTCTTACATCATAAGTCCCCACCTCCCATTAGAGTGCCCCCTTATATCAGGGTGCCCATAAACGTGTCCCCTTACATCAAAGTCCCCATCTGAGTACTCCTTTACATCAGATGTCCCCCATCAGAATGCTCCCTTGCATCAGATGTCTCCATGAGATTGCCCCATTACATCAACTGTTCCCATCACAGTGCTCCCTTACATCAGGGTACCCATCATAGAAACATAGAAAAGTGATGGCAGAAAAAGATTGAGTGGTCCATCAAGTCTGCAGTGTGTGTGTATGTGTGTTTTTGTGTGTGTGTGGGGGGGGGGGGGGTTGTTTTTTTTGGTTTGTTTTTTTGTGTGTTTTTTTTTTTTACTTTTTTTGTCTCAGTATAGATCCATGCCTGTCCCAAGCATGTTTGAAGCTATTTACTGTTGACTGACTCACTACTCTGCTGGAAGTTTATTCCAAGCATCATCTACTCTTTCAGTAAAATAGTACTTTCTGAGATTAGTTTTGAACTTTCCTCCAGTTAGATTAAGGTCATGTCCCCGAGTGCTCCTTTACATCAGGTGTCCCTATCAGAATGCTCCCTTACATCAGATGTCTCCATGAGAGTGCCCCATTACATCAAGTGTCCCCACCAGAGTTCTCGCTTACATCAACTGTTCCATCACAGTGCTCCCCATCATAGAAACATAGAAAAGTGACAAAGGCGGAGCCTAACCATGGCGGCTGACGAGAGCCCGATGTAGGAGCTCTCGGATAAGCTCCTTCACCCACCTCCCCAAACCCCTACCTGTGATGTGGAGCTGCAGTGCGGTGGTCCCCCTTGGATGGATGGAGGAGCCCTGCGGGAGAGCTGATCCATGAGAAGGGACCCGGCTCCGGTGCTCGGGGTGAAGGTGTGTCGGGCTGCGGGGAGAGAAGGTGGAGCGGGGTTAGCCACGTGACCGGCCGCTAAGCATCACTGGGAAACCAGGAAGCCGGCCGGTGTTTGGCGCAGAGAGAGAGGAGCTGCTCGGCTTGCGGACCTACCCCTGGGAACACGGCTGCCGGCCCAGTGCCTGGTCCCCTGTTTTAGTGCCGATAGTCTGGTGCCCTGCTGGTAGGCTTACTGCTCGGAGCTCCGCATCCTAGCCCAGTGCTCAGAGTCCTGTCAGCCGGTTTCTACCCGGAGCTCTGTCTGCCGGCTTGTTGGCTGGGACCTTGACCGTTGCTGGACTGTTGGGGGACGTGCTGGTCGGTCCGTTGTTTGGGGCCCTGCTGGATGGCCCAATGTTCTGAGTCCTGCTTCTGAAGGAGGAGAGACACGAGGGATTGGAGAGAGAAAGGAGGACGATTTTTTTTTCTCTGGAGAAACCCCTAAAACGAAACACACTGCCCAGCTGAAGGACAGACAGAAATGCTGGTCGGGGCCCCGAAAAGAAGAGAGATACGAGCAGGGTGAGTGACTCTGACCGAGTCTCAATAAATTACGTGCTTCTTGTGGGCTGTTGGGGAGAGGGCAGTGTGTGAGAGAAGAGAGGGGATCCCCTTGAGTGGGAAATGTAAAGCAGTGAAAAGGAGAAGAGGAAAGACGAATGAAAAATTTGAAAATTAAATGAGTGGATAAGTGGTGAACTGTATATATTAATAGTTATCTTCTCCTTAACCCCTGAGCCTATAAAGGAAGAATAAGAGCAATAGGAGAATGAGAAAATAAAAGCGCAAAAGGAAGTGGGCTAAAAGGGACTCAGACTGGTACTATCAAAAAATACACTTCCCAGGGAAATATAACCCAGAAAGGTCTCAGGGCAAAAGTGGGAAAGGTGAAGTAGATCTAAGCCTGGGAAAGTAGCCCTAGACTATCACTAGGCCTTGACATTAGCAGCCAACAAATACCGGCTAATATAGAGATGGAGACAGAGCTACAAATACCAAAAACAAAAAAAGAAATGGCAGAAAATGTTCAAAGATCTGGAGAAAACAATAAAACAAGAAATTGTAAATATTCGAAATGATCTGGGACACCTCTTGGTGAGAGTGGAAGAAACTGAGGAAAAAGTCAAAAATCAGTCCCAAATTATTGCCGAATTGGAAAAAGAAATAATTAACATGGGGAAAGCCAAGAAAAAATGCTTTATAAGGCTGAGATACAAGAAATAGGAATAGGAGGAGAAATATTAGGATACGTGGGGTCCCAGAGAACTCAAAAGGAGAAAAATTTGCAAGAGTACGGTCTGTAAAATATTAAACTCCATAATGGACAGTACTAATATGGAAAAAACTAAAATAGAAGGAATTTTTAGACAAGGAAAAATCCAAGGAAATTCGGGAAAGGATAGGCCACGAGATATACTTTGTCAAATTTTGTGAATTTCCTAGATAAAGATAAAATTTGGAAGAGGATAAAGGGAAAAAAAGCAGTAATTATGTATGAAGGAAAGGAATTACAGATATATGCGGACTTGTCACCAGAGACTCTATGGAGAAGGAGAACCCTTAGACCTCTATTGGAAAGATTGAAAGAACAAAAGGTAGCAATATAGATGGGGGACCCCTGAGTGCCTAATAGGATGGAGAAATGGAATTACAGCATATCTTAGGTTCCCAGAAGATTTGAAAATTTTTGCGACAGACTTCAAACTACAAAGAATGGAGATTCCTGGCTGGGAAGAAGAACACTGGGAAATTTAGAACGAAAAGAAAAGAGGACTGGCAATTGGTTTGGGGGGTGGGAGGGGG